ACATTTTTTAATTCCTTGTCATTGTCAGTAAAATGCATATATTTTTCTTTCTATCTCTCTTTTTCCTTTCTATTTTTACAACCAATATTTTATGGTAGTAAAGTCAGACTTTATTGCTTAAATCTTCAGTTTCCCCACTACCTTCCTCATATCCATGTATTATTTTAGTTTCTGAAATGAAACCAATGAATCAATAAACATAAGCTGTAGGGAAGGTTGATGCCACAGACAAATAATAAAATAATACCTCAAATCTGCTTTTGAGCTCCTCTAGTAACTTAACCACTTTAATTATTCTTATTTCCAAGTCCAGATATTCCCTCTGGATTTAATTTTTAAATTATTTATATATCTTTCTTGAGATCCCCTATTTAGTATATCATTGTCATAATATTTTAGTTTTATTTGAACATAGCTTATTTCATCCTTTGAGCTTCATTATTATACAGTAGTCCCTCTTTATCCACAGGGGGTGGGGGGAACATTCCAAGACCTCCCTAGTGGATGCCTAAACACACAGATAACATCAAACCCTATGTATACTATGTTTTTTCTTATACAGAAATACCTATGATAAAGTTTAATTCATAAGTTAGGCACAGTAAGAGTTTAACGTTATTAACTAATATAAAATAGAACAATTCAAGAATATACTATATTAAAAGTTATGTGGTTGTGCTCTTTCTCACTAGCAGAATTTTCTTTCTTCACAATTTTATGGATAAAAGATTCATTTCTTGCCATAGATCTTAGCAACCTCAGCAAGATTTTTTTTCTTTTCTTATTAAGTTGAGAGCTTTCATCTTTTCACTTAAAGGAAGCACTTTACAGCTTCTCTTTGGCATCTCTGAATTTCCAGCATCACTACCGTTGAGCTTTGGGGCCATTGTGAAGTCAAATAAGGGCGACTTGAACACAAGCACTGACAATACTTTGACAACCAGTCTGATAACAGACAGCTACTAAGTGACTAGCGGTGGGTAGTGTATAGTGTAGAACTGCTTACACTGGATGAGGGGCTACAGCGATGATTCACATGCCGAGCCAGTCAGAGTAGGACAGCATGAGATTCCATCATGCTACTCAGAATGGTGCACAATTTAAAACTTATGAATTGTTTATTTCCAAAATTTTCCAATACTATTTCAGACTGCAGTTGACTGTAGGTAACTGAAACTGTGGATAAGGGGAGACTAGTGTACTTTTTTTGAAGTTAGCCCTCTATGGATGCCTTACTTCCCTCATCTCCCTGTTAGATTTTCATTTCTGGCTCTCTGCCAGTCTTTTGCTTACTCACATCAGTAACTTCTGCTTACCTTCAGTATTGGCCTTCCTGTTCATTTGCAGGTAAAATTGCCACTGTTTCCACCAGTTTCCATGGGTATGGAACTGGAGCCTACTTGGCCCCAAATGAAGTAAGCAGCCCTCGGTGGTGAAGGTTTTTGCCTGTACAGCTTGTCCTTCCCTGGTAACATTATTGCAAAAATGGAGCAGAAAGGGTGCTGAGTAAAATCCCAGGTTAAAACATTTCATATGAATATTCTTACAAAAGTTTCAGTAGTGCTTTTTGAATAAACACTGCTTACTTTGTTGAATGGCTTTGGCTGATTTGTATAATCCTGGAATTACTGCTTTAGAAAACCTGTCAAGTCTTTGCTTTTGGGGAGTGGATTTGCTCAGGTCTTTATTCTGTCATTCTAGAAAGTCCACATTATTATTGAAGTTCAGAAGGAACTGCTCAGTAGGCCAAGTCAGTATATAAAACGAGATCTCTGATTCTAGTGGCCTTGCTCTCTCTGCTACAACGGCAGAATATCAATATACCAAAGAGTATCAGAGAACACCAAAGTGCCCTTCACGGCCCACCTCATCATCTCTAGCTTATTTAGGATGACTTTTCCTTACTCCGATGACTGTTCTTTTTGATATGAAATGTCTATTCTTTTCATATAGTATGTCATATTTTATAAGATTATTACTTTTTCAAATAAAGCAAAAGTTTATTTTCAAATAAAAGATGAGTTTTGAAAATATCAGCTTTATAATGAGCACATTTTTAAAAAAATCTGGCAACATCACTTTCAGTGTTCTTTTGTTTGTATGTTTTTGGTAATCCTCACCTGAGGATATTTTTCCATTGATTTTTGGAGAGAGTAGAAGGAAAAGGGAGAGACACAGGGAGAGAAACATCGATGTGAGAGAGACACATCAATTGGTTGCCTCTCGCACGTGCTCTGACCAGGGCAGGGATGGATCCTGCAACTGAGGTATGTGCCCTTGACCAGAATCGAACCCGTGAACCTTCGGTCTGTGGGCCGATGCTCTATTCACTGAGCCAAACTGCCTAGGGCACTTTCAGTGTTTTAGGCAAATCAACAGACCTATATGAATTTCTCCTTTTGTAATTGCACTGCCTATGGTAAGCATAAAAAAAGTAATATGCATTATACTTTGATAAACTACTAATGAGGAAATTATCCTTTCGACCTGTTAGAGTTTGAGAAAGGTGAATTATTAACAAAACCAAAATGAACCTTAATATTTTACAACTTTCTGGAAACTTTGACTTCTCTTTATACTATGTTTTATTGACAAATAATGTGACTTTTGAAAATTTAGATAATTAGCATTGTTTTAAATATCACTTTTAAGTTTGCTAACTAACAATGAGGAGGACCACCTTACCTTTCTCTATAATAACCCTAACACCAAACATAACTGATCAGTTAATGATGCTCACATGAATGTGTGAATCTGCATAGACATTCTGAAAACAGAGATCACTAATCAGTTGAGTTAGCTACTTTCAACCAATTCATATATTATGCTTGACAGAGTTCTTTTAAAATTAGAGTCAGAAAGAATTTCAATATCAAATGTTTTTCTGTAACATTAGAGTATGCTAGTGTAGTGATACACAGCTTCTTTCTCCTTGTGGCACCAAATAGCTGGACCTGAGGCTGCAGGGAGAGGTTGCACTGTTTTCCACAATCCCCAACGCTTCCTTTAGTGTCCTGTTGGGTCTAGTTCCCTCTGAGGTTTGAGCATCTGATCGATGCTTCTCTGTCTCTGGATCTGTTTTTGTTCATCAGTTTATGTTGTTCATTATAATCCACAAATGAGTGAGATCTTCGTGACTCTCTGAGTTCAGTTTTAACGTATTATATTTGAATGCAAGGTCTGTCCCTATCACCAGCAACCAACCCCAACACTAAAGTGCCTGGTAAATGCTGAATCATCCTTGAAAACATAGCTCAGCTAACACTTTCATTTGAAGACTTTCCTCATACCACTAGGCAAGGATAAATCCCTATTTATTGGTAGTTGTACATCTAGTGTAAAGTGTTGTAACTTCAGGTTCACTTGGATTCCCCATGAAATTATGAGTTTTCCAAGCATACTGTCATCTTTATCTCTGTCATCTCAGGACCTACCACATTAACTGAAGGATCTAAGGGTCTCAAATATTAGTCAGGGATTAAATGGCTAGAAACTCCTAGGGCTGGTGCTATATCCAAGTCCCTGACTTGTGGTCCAGGGCCATTTCACTTCTTATATTTTATTTCATTTTGATATTATTAGTTCCTATATATTCTATTATGTAACCTTATGCAGAATAGCAAAGAACCCCTGTTATGTGTCTCTTATCCTGTACTTTTCTCACAATATTTATATTGTCTTTGCCTGATTCTCTGTCTTTCTTTCCCATCAGAACTGCGATATCCTTAATGAAAAAGGCCATGAAATGCTTGTCTCTACATCCCTATATTCTAGCACAATGCTTAACACAGGGTAGGGATTCAGCAATATTGGTAGAATTGAGTTTACTAGTAGTTAAACTACATTCACATTTGGAGTCCATGTATTTGACCGAATTGTGGCTATAATGTAATCAGGTGAGATAATTGTTCTTGCTGTTCATAAGGGCTGGATAGATTTTAGAAACATCCAACAGAAGGTCTCAACAAACAAGTATAGTGAAATTCAAACAGATGGCCAGCAATCATGCCAAGTCCATCCTTGTTTCCACTCCTTAGATAATTACTATGGTGAGCCCCGGCATGGGTGGAGTTGGATAGCCAAAATATTCATCGTTCACTAGGTTCATTTTTAGGAGAGCCAAGAAGTCAATGCATGTGATGGTTTAGCTAGTTTATAATGGGTGGTTTTATGTTGGTTGAGTCAGTCAAGTGAGTTGGAGGATTTTAAAAGTATTAATTTTGCTAATAAGTCATGAGTAACTTTTTAGGAAGACGCATACTTTATCTGTAGAAGTACGATATACTTTGTTTTCCCCTGGCCATCATTGACACAGAAAGATTTTGCCTCACATGGTCTTGTCTGTAGAAACCAGGTACAATTTTATGCCTGTCATTTAAATGACTTTTCTATTGTCTTTCAAGTAATTATAAGTATTCTGTACTTCCGTCTGGCTTTGTGGTTATAGAAACATTAAGGAATGTAACAGCTCCTGGGGAGCTTTTAAATAAAACTACAATACTCAGATTCCTCCCCAAAAACAATTAAACCAGAGTCTCTTTAGAGTAGATTTAAAAAACAACAACAACAGATTTTCGGTATTAACAATAGATATGACCAGACTCTACTCTCATTTAAGCATTTTTTATGCTGTTCTGTGTATGCTTTATAAAATTTGAGTTGAAGTGCTACTAGTAACACCAGATACCAAGTGTTTAATAATTTTTCTTTTTTAAAGTGATTCATTAAAAATGATAGGTTAGCTCTGCCGGTGTGGCTCAGTGGTTGGGTGTGGACCTATGAATGAGGAGGTCATGGTTGTATTCCAGACCAGGGCAAATGCTAGGGTTGCGGGCTCAATCCCCAGTGGGATTATACTACTGATACATCTTCAAAAACCTTCTCTATAGCCTAGAACCCTGCTAACACTTGGCACTTTTAGGTACTCCTACCTGAAAATGTTTTAAAATAGGGAAACAGCATGTCCTTTTGATAATATGAAAAGACAGTCAGGCATTCCATCTTGTTATTTAATAATGTTAGCTTTATTATTATAATAGAATACAGTATGACATAAAATTAAGAGCTTTTGCTAAACGCTGTAAAGCAATACATGCATCTGCGATAAACAACCTCAATTCATCTTAGGTTTTATTGCCACTTCACTGCACTAATGTGCAATAAACATTCAGTGTCATCTTTAAAAATATTCCTGGTAATAAACAGGAACTGTCCTCTTTAAGAGCGTAACTTTATATTCAAGGAAGACTTACCTAGTATTACATGGTTTAGCAAAGCACTGTAGAAAAACTACATAGAATTATTTGTCTTCCATAAATTATGTAATCAATTAATACAATAGAATATTATCCACATATACTAACAAACTAAGAAATGAGAGAAATGCCATCATTGCATAGCAGGAAGCTGACTAATAAGAAATATTCACATCTAATGAGCAAAATACAGACCAAACGTTAGTCATGACGAGTCTGGAAGATAAAATACTCTTAATAAACACATTAGATTGACACAGAAAACTAACAAGATAAACAGTAACATAGAAGTTAGAGCCATATTTTACTTTATTTTCTATACATGATATCTACACACGATACCAGAGGATGAACACCCTTGCTTCAGCCTTTATTGGCCTAGCTCATGGAATTTCAGCAGGACCAAATCAAACAATAAAGCACATTTAAAAAGAAAACCAGAGTTTGTTTAGGAAAACATAGTGTATTTTCCTACATCATTGGATAGCAGCTTTTTGAGAAAGACATAGCTCCAAACCTGGGTATGGACCATACTGTCTCATTTGGCAATTAGGCTGACAGGCTTATGTTGTGGTACCCTAAATGTGTTGCTTAGACCATGAACTGTGGATTCTGGATGCTAATTTTAAATAAATCTGAAACCCTATCGGACAAAAAGGAGACTTCAAAAATACCTTCTGCATAAATATTTATCTCTAAAACATCTGGGAAGTAATGAAACCGCCTAGAACTTTCATAGGGAGTATTAATGAACCTCTTGTCGTTAAAGCCCTTACATAGTATACCTACAAATATATTGCTACAGTATAAATGAAATAACATTACTCAATAAAAGCTATTTCCTGTACATTCTCTTTCATGAATTTTTATAGTTGGTGCTACATATGGTACAGCACATCGAAATAGTTGATATCAGCAAAGATAGCGGTAATATACAGTTGATTTTCTCGCTCTCACTAATGATTTTCCATTTCGTTTCTATATTACAAGAGTCTAATTTAGGGAACTGTGGCAGTACTGGAGCAGATAGCAACTGATTTACTACTGTACGCCAGACAGCAGTTTGCAATTATAAGCTTTCTCTACGTAAATGAACTTTATGCCCATATATTTGAAGTTCCACCTGATTCCTGCAAGCTGTTCTAATCTTAAATGCAGGCTCTAAAGGTATTTCCATAGCACTTAACAACATTCTAACAGCTAAGAGCGGTGAGTCTTACACACTATTTTAAGAACACAACCTTAAAAAAAAGTAAAAAATGTACAATCTCATGCTGTATATGTACATAGATAATTTATATATTCTATTTTTGTTCACTAGTCATAGATTTCAATCTAAAGCTTTTAATGTACGGTATATAAAATACATTCAACAATTCTAGAGCTTGCAAAATATTTTTGCCCCTCTAAAACATCTTTATAAAGGGAATGAAGTGATTTATGGAACCCATGTGCTATCTGTAAATAGGCATGATGAGAAAGGGAATATTTTTTAATTATTTTATTTAATTTTCAAAATTTTGGGCTATTATTGAGTATTTATGTTTTTGTTAAAATGATTCTTCATCAAGTCCAGAGATAAAAGTGGAGATGATAGTGAAAATAGCCTGTATAGAACATTTCTCTCCTTTGGACGAAATGTGCTCTACAAGGAGGAACTGCTCCTCTATGAATTTTAAAATAGCACTTAGCAACAAAATAGCATGTTAGGCATTTATAACAGGAGAAAGAATGGGGGTCCTTAGCTTTGGAAACAAAAATATGGAAGTTATCCATCGGTTTAAAAAACAAAACAAAAATGTAAGCATACCATAGTTTGTGCAATAAAGATATAGATTCTTTGAAAATTTTCTTCATTAAACATTTATAATTTTTTTTCTTTTAAACACCTTCACATAAAAATATTTTTGACATATATAGTATCTTCTTTGTTTAGAATATTTGGAAATATATATCTACAAATTATCTAGAGTTACAGTTGTTTTATTTTTCTTCTACTTTACCTCCTATCTTGGGAACTATGTCCCCCTTCTTCCCTCTCCCTTTCGTTCTGTCTCCTTCCATTGTGATTGTTTTTGCTCTCTCGTTCTCACTCTCAGAATCCTGTCTCTCAGCTGTATTCTCTGCTCTGCTCTGCACTGCTGGACAGGGGTGTGTTCTTGTAGGAATTATGGAAATAAGGGAACCCTCAAATTCTTTAAGACAGAGGCAATAAAGCAGATGGGAATTACCGCGTTGAGAACAGAAAGCAATTTCCGTTGCAGAGGACTGAACAGCAGAATGTGAATAAAAGGACCTACTTGTGTGGGGTGGGGGCTTTGAGCTGAGGCTCTCTGTTTAAATAGGTAGCCCAGTAAACCAAGTTGAAGATTCCAAATAGCAGCGGGAAGGCTATTCTTGACAGGCGGTCAATTTTGCTGACACTGTTAAAGGTTTTCTTGGGTTCTGGAGGTTTGACTTCTGGCTTGACTTCTTTTGGTTCTATGGTCGCGCTCTTAGCAATGGTGGCTAAGCCAGGGTCACCCCTGGCCATGTTAGGGGTGTAGCTGGTTGCTGTCGGAGCGTAAGTGTTGTTTTTCTTCATAAGAGGATCCTTCACTTTCTTTGGCTATAAAAGAAAGAGTAAAAACAGTTTGTTCGGTAAACTGTGAGATAAGCATGTTTATAAGTTGCTGAGTAAAAGTGACCTTCACTTTGGAACCTAAATCTGTGCTTTATTTAAAAATCTAAGAAATGTAATTTATGACTGTATTTTTGGGGTAAATTAAAATTGCAGATACCCGTATCCAGTCATAAGATTGACAAGTTGGGAGATAGAATGTGCAGCATGGTGATTATAGCTTATAAGACTGTATCATATATTTGAATGTTGCTAAGAGAATAGATGTTAAATGCTTTCACTACAGAAAGAAATGGTAACTATGCAATGAGTGGAGATGATAACTAATGCTACGGTGGTAATCAGTTCACAATATGTATATGTATCAAAGCAATCCCACTTTACACCTTAAACTTACCCAATGACTTGTGTCAATTAAGCTGGAAAAATGCCGACACAATATTTTCCCCACTTTCCTATGCTCTATTTCCAGACCCGTTGAATCTAGAATGGACTTGTGACTTTGGACAGAGTGATGCTGTTGCAGTGTAGGAGCCTAACTTCAAGAGGCTTGGCAACCTCAGCCTTGACCTTCTACAAATATGCCACTGCCACATGAAGAAGCCTGGACCAGACTACTGAGTGACAGAGACCAGGTGAGAGACAAGCCAGCAGCAGGCCCCAGACCTGAGAGAGAAGCCACTGTGGGTCTTCTCGCCCTGCTGGAGCCTGCAGTTAACTGCAACCCTGTGAGTGAGCCCAGGTTAGACTAATGGGATTACCCCCGGGCTGTTCTCAGCCCCAAATGCTTGGTTGTTGTTTTAGGATCTGTACCTTGCCATTGCCAGGTGGTTTGTTTTGCAGCAATAAATTGCTGAGCCAGTTAGTATTATTTGCTCCTTCTCCCCAGGCTTCAGGTGGGCAAATGATAAAGCAGAATTATTGAGAATATCCAGAATTCAATTCTTGTTCAATGTTAGTTGCTCATCAATGACATCTATGCAACAATTGACAACTGCAGCATTTCTTAGGGTTTCTGTCATGTAGACATTGCCAAAAAAATTGAGTAAATCATTGATTATAGCTGTGTGGCCCAATACAATTGCCAATAGCCACATGTGGCTACTGAGCAATAACATGTAGCTTGTCTGATTAGATACATGCTGAGAATATAAAATACACATAGTATTTTGAAGACCTAGTGTGAAAGAAAGAATGAAATCTATCTCCTTAATAATGTTTTGTATGGTTTCCATGTTGTAAAGATAATATTTTTATATATGGGCTAAAGTATATTATTAAACTTAATTCCACTGGCTTATACCTAAAAAATAAAGCTACTAGAAAATTTCAAAGTACATATCTGGCTGATGTTTGCAACGTACTTATATTTCTGCTGGACAGCGATAGTCTAAAAGAATGGTTCTCATTCTTTTTTGTACAGTAATTTACTAGTAACATTTTTTAAAGTGCAGTGTCTTGGACACAGTCTCATATTTTGATTAGGATTTCTCAAGATTTGAACCTGGTTATTGACATCGCAAAAACTTACCCATCGATGAGAACCTAAACTTGAACCACCAGATGCAGTACTCTCTGAATAATTTGTATTTTTAAATTATTAAATCAGAATAAATTATTACTTCTAGAAGACCTGATGCTTTTCACTAGACACAATAGTCAGGAATTTTAACAGGTAAATTTATTTATTTTCCAGCTATGTGCCCTGTCTGCTACTTTTTTTTTCTCTCCAAATCCTTAAACTATTTTGAGACTTAAAAACAAATATATTATTATTTTTTCCAGTATTACTCCATTAAAATAAGGCCACTTTCTCCAAATATACACTCATTTTTCAGTGAAGGCAGAATTGGTTAAGCTTTATGAGGAAGAACAGAAATTTCCATAATTAAGTGAAAGTGATTCTCTCTGAATGTAGTCCAAATGACTACAGGTCAGGAAGAGATTATGATTTATTTCAACATCGTTAAAGAGCCAAATTGACCTTATGTTGAGTTCAGTTCTTTAAAAATGAGAGTTTTAATATTATAGATACATTAAACAGCTTGTTATGCCCTTTAGATAACATGTATAATGTACTCTGGTGTTGAAGTGAGGCCAAGGGTTCCAGTGTAACCAAAACTTGTTGAGTGACAGACATCCTATTAGGCAAACTGAAATAAATAATCTTCTAAAGAAAAAGTTCATGGAGATGTCATCTCTTCCTGTTTCAATTTATCATAACTCCACTACTAAAAATTCTCAAATTAAGTGTTTTGTATTGGTGTTTGTTTTTTTTTGCAACATCATGTTGAATAGAATATTTAGAAATTACTGTTTGGTTTATTGGGAAATACTAATTTCTGAAAATATTGAGCTCCCCCACGTTCTTTAAGAAGTTGGCATTTCTTTCAGCAATTAACCATAGAAGGATGGGTTATAAGCAGGCTGCTGTATGCTCATTGGATAATGTGATGACCCTGTGGGAAAGTTCTTTTGAATTTTAAATTGCACCTTGTTAAGGATTGGAAATTTAACTCTCCTAGAAACATTAACCTAGTATCAGAAAAAATATATTCTTCTTCATCTCTGAATGTCAAGATGAGACCTAGATTAGAATAAGCAAATCAAACTGTCAGAGCCTGCGGGAAGATTTTTACAGAAGCATAAATAACTTATAGAAAATATTGTCTATTTAATGATAATGATTGATGTAAATGTAGATGTATTATTACATATAGATGTATTGCAGTACATACATTTATACTCACTAGTATGGACTAAAGATTGATAGAGATTAAAATATTTTCTTTGAGACATAGCACATGAAAGACTAATGTAGGGGTCAGAATGGAATAAATAACAATCAGAACTATGAGCTCACCAATGCCTCAACCAAAATTCCATGGTCTCCATAAAAATTCCCATTCATCTAACCACTAGTCAGTAACAGCTGATACTTAGGAGCCAGAATCGGAAAGATGTTGGTCTCTCACAGCATGCAAAGAAAGTAGTAAACTAGAAAAGCAACTTTCCCAATGCTTGCACCTCACTTTCACTGTATGTCACCCATGTTTGCATATCACTCATCCTGAATAATTTCAGTAGAATATGTCAGTAATTCTAAGATGTACATTTAGAAATTTTTCGCAGCTCTATCTCTGGGCTGTCTTACAATTCTCAGTGTTTTAGGATAACCTGTCCCCTGGGTTGGCTCTCTCTCCTTCAGGCTGCCCTTCTGGTCTAGGACAAAGGGAGCCATGGATGACAAAGGCACATATTTGACAATTAACTTTGTCTCCACCTTCATGGCTCTCTCTCCAGCTGATATATGCAGTCCCTGTATCTTGTCTCTTCTCTCTACTCAACCTGAGTCAAAGTTCTTGGTTTGAAAATTCAAAGAATGTTTATACTGGGCAAGAAGGTTTCAAGGCAGGCTGGATTTTCAGGGCCTGCTTCTGGTACACTTTGGCTATGATAGTACATCCTGTGCAGAACCCTTTTGCTTTTACTTATGTAGCGCACTGGGGTGTTGAGCTGACTCATCTGTTGCTGAGGGGTAAATCTAAAAGAATTTTACCTTAACAGCATATTTTCTTTCAGTTGTATTTGATCATAGAGCTGTATTTTCAGGGACCATCACAAGAAGATAGCATTCAATGGAGTGGAATTCGGGGAAACTGCTGAAGAGTGAATCCTCCTAGATTACTTCTAGAGGTCTTACAGCCTCTGTCTCTGACTTGCTCTTCTTCCTACTGTCCCAAGACTCACTTGCATTTTGATATATTTTTTCCTTCAAAAATCAGAAGTAGAAATAGCCTCTCTGTTTTCAAATCCACTCTAAAATAGGTTCTGAGTGATATTCTCTGTCTCTCTTTTTTTTTTCTTTCTTTCTTTTCTTTTTGGTTTGTTTTGTTTTGCTTTGTTAATCCTCACCCCAGGGTATTTTTCCATTGGCTTTTATGGAGAGTAGAAGAGAGAGGGAAAGACAGAGAGAAACATTGATGTGAGAGAAACATATCAATTGGTTGCTTTCTGCACGAGCCCCCACCAGGGCCCAGGCCAGGGAAGAGCCTGCAACCAAGGTACATGCCCTTGACCAGAATCGAACCTAGAGCCGTTTGGTCTACAGGCCAATGTTCTATCCACTGAGCAAAACTGGCTAGGGCTGAGTGATATTCTTGACTTGATAGTTTTCTACATTTTTCTGTCATTTCTCTGTGTTATGACCCTTAAAGCAAGCCTCTATTTAGGAAAGAGAAAATGTTTCCTGCCCTTTGCTTCACTGATAATTGGAAATAATGCATTTTGCAAACACAGTTAAATTGAGGCATTATAGTAATGATGTTTATAACCAAAGGGATTACATTTAAAAAGTAACCAAAGCCTATGATTTTCAAGTTATAAAAATTATAATGCCATGTGTAAGTTTATTTGCTCCTAATATCAGGCTTGTTAAAACTCTTCTAAGATCAATTGAAGCCATAGAAAAGCATATTTGAGTAGAAATATTAATTTTTGTCTCCTTTATCTTCTGCATCTACTCTGCACATCTGTCCATTCAACTTTCTTTAACAAGAATTAAATTATCATAGCACTTAATCATTAATGATATAAGAATTGCAATCCTCATTAACCACTCTCTGCATTCTTCATCCATTTCCGCAAGTCCAAACATGCCATCTAATATGTTTAAAAAGACATATTAGTGCTATACCACAGGGGATATTAATGCATTTACCTTTTCTGGAACCACGCTTTTGCCATCCCAGGCATAACCTCTCTTGGTGAAATAGTTTACGGTGGCGAACTCGATCAGAGCGGAGAACACAAAGGCATAGCACACTGCGATAAACCAATCCATAGCAGTTGCATAAGCCACCTTAGGGAGTGAATTCCTGGCACTGATGCTCAAAGTTGTCATGGTGAGCACAGTTGTTACTCCTGTAAAGAAAGAAATTAAGTGAATTTGTCAATTTCTACTACACAATGGCATCACTGGATGTCATGCTACTTGTACAGAGGGAGAGCCACAGTACCCCAGAGTACAAGTTTTCTTGTTCATCACATTTTGGTCTGGAATGGATGAGTTTTAATTCAATACCAGTGTAATTTGCAGTTGATGGAATGGCAATTTGAAGGGGATCTCTTCTAGGGATAAACTACTTTGCTGTTGAGCTGTTAATAAAACAGCGAACTTTTTAAAATGGGCATCTTGAACGTGGTGTCCTGGTTAGAAAAGGAAATAACAGTCTCTCACTTTCTCCAACTCTTTGAAATAGAAAGCATAGATCACTATCTCTGATCCACAAAAAAGCTCTGAACCCTCAGCTCTGTTTGGTATTCTCCCTGTGTACCCCAAATGTATAAACCGAGAAGATAATAGTGTATTGATTGATAAGTGATAGATAGCTAAATTATCTTCAGATAATACTTTGTTACATTATTAACTCTTCTGTTTTTATACTATTTTTTGTGCTGATTTTTGAAGTAGCCACTCTTTTGAAGAAATTCCTGAAATAAGTTGCATGTAACTTGCCTGAGGTAATACATTTCAGAAGGAGCAAAGCCAAAATTTAAACACAATTTGAGATTTAAATGTCCACAATCTTTTCTTTTCTGTTACTGCTGCCCCAATGCCGTCTTTAAGTCAGTTGTTTTTAGTTAATTTATATAATTATATGAGTTGGTATGTGAATAATGATATACATTAATGTTCACTTAACAAATTAATATTACCAGCCTACTAAATATAACGCACTGTATAGTTAGTCTATTGCAAGGTTCCGTATAAACCATTCGAGTATTTAAAAATTCACATAATCCAGTAAGGATGACTCAGGCTGCATGATGTGGAAAAATCGTGACTGTTCCAATGACTACTCTCAACCTGACCACTCCATGACCTGAGTAAGTGAATTAACTCCCAGGGAGCTCAGTCTTCATATCTGTGGAGGCATGACCGAAACTTCATTCTCTTGACTGTCTATATCATTATTGAAGTTCTAAGAGAGGAAAATTTCCACACAATCATTCACAAGATTATTTGAGGATAAAATGTAGTAATATGTACAAGCATTTTAAAGATGTAAATAAATTATTGCCATAGAAGATGCTATCTTCGAATGGGTCTAAAATTAATACCTATAATTCCCCCCATTTGATGACTTTTCAGAGAATTGGTAGGACTACAGAGATGGGGGTGGCTAATTTTTACGAACTGCTTTAAACCATCCAGTATTTCCTAGTTTTCCATGAATGTCAAGGTAGATAATCTTGGCAAATATTTTAGAAAGTGATAGGATTAAGAAGGAACACTGAGACTTTTATCGAGTCATAGTTATTACTTTGAACTTTGATGGTGTTACAGAAAGTTCTGGGGCCTTGTCTATATTCCCTAACCAACGAATGGTTTAAAGAATATTGGCTGGGAAACAGCCCTCAAATGTACCTGTTGATATTAACTTGAGAAAATAGCAAGGTAACTAAATACCAGTATCTAGGAAACAGAGCAACCCAGTTTTAAATCTCAGTTCTATAATTGCTGGGTGACCTTGGGAAAATTGCCTCGCAATTCAGAGCTTCTGCCTCATTCTTTAAAAATAATTATTTCTTTGCAAATTAATTTCAATAAGTCTAACTCAGAGGGGTGTGTGACTATTAAATACAATACAGTAGTAAAGTGTTTAGCACTTAGCCTGATATTTACTTAGGGCAAGATTAATTACTTATCATTATTGACAAATACAGTCCTTTTGGATAAATTCATGCTATAGTGAATTCATTTCTTTATTTTTGTGAGTTTTGGTTTTTATAAGCAGCATAAGGAATTCGGGAGTAGGTGTTCTTAAATCAAATGCATGCATAAATTAAAAGCAGTGAAGAAATGCATAAAGAGGTGTGTGTGTGTGTGTGTGTGTGTGTGTGTGTGTGCCTGTTCTTATAATTCCTGCTATAGGGGAGGGGAAAAGAACAAAAGTGTTTTGAGCATCTCTTAAGTTCCAAGTACTAAGCCAGACAATTTACATATTTTATTTTTATCACTTAATCTTTTAAACAGTATAATTTGACATTAATTATATTTACATTTTATTGGCAACTGAAGCTTAGAAAAACAGATTAAAACTAAAACTTGACTCTGTCTGGCAGCAAAATTCCATGACCACATTTCCTCCAAATGTGAGCATGGAAGGTCAAAAATATGATAGTTTAAGACATAAAACAGGCTTCAGCTTTGTTATATAGCCTGGGTTGCCTTTTAGTAAGCTGTCATAAATTACAACTTTTTTTTTTATTCTTGTATTTCTTTAAATACCCATGACCCTCTCAGGCGTCTTACACAGCTCAGAGAAATATGCTGAGTTCAGACAAAAAAAGAATAGAAACATGTGTTCTAAATAAATGTTAAGAGGCTAAAGGTCTTAGAAAATTGTATTTTTGATTTTATTGAGCTTGAAACATTAGAAATATAAAACTTGATAGACAGAAATACTTGCCATAACCAAGGTTATGCATAGGTAGTTATGTTCACCAAAAAGTCATGAGTTGCCTGATTGTTGAAAGTGTTAAAAGCAGCCGAAACCGGTTTGGCTCAGTGGATAGAGCGTCGGCCTGTGGACTGAAAGGTCCCAGGTTCGATTCTGGTCAAGGGCATGTACCTGGGTTGCGGGCACATCCCCAGTGGGAGATGTGTAGGAGGCAGCTGATCGATGTTTCTCTCTCATCGATGTTTCTAACTCTCTATCTCTCTCCCTTCCTCTCTGTAAAAAATCAATAAAATATATTTTAAAAAAAGAAAGTGTTAAAAGCAAGGTTTTTAAAAACAAATGGATAAGTATTTTTTTTTAAAGCAAAGTTTTTCATTTATAAAACAGTCCAAAATGTTTTAGAAAGTTTCCAAACTGGAAGGATCAGATATGTTGGGGGTAAAGTGGGGAAAATGACATTAAAAAACATATTTTTCACTGTAGTGCTGGATTCATTCTGCATAAGATATAATGAAATATCTTATGTGTTCTAATTAAAATAATTCTTGTGGGAAAAAAAGGGGGCTCAAATTACATATGCACACAGAAGCTAGTGTCTTCATTTCTAACAAAGTAGTGTCAAAGCTGGTTAATATTGACAAATGGTGATAAGGAATGTTTGGAGTGATCGCCTTTGCTTGGTAGCTGACTCTTTCTGGATCTTGATTTAGTTGTGTTCTTAGATTATTGTCAGAGCAAAGATTTGGTGGTTTCCAACCTAGAAGCACCTTGCAACATTCAGAAGGGAATAGTCTTTTCTGGGCACTTGGAGTAGAGTCTTGCTTCTTTTCTGAGATAACTGATTTTCTCATACCTTGTATATTATTGGAGGATCTTTGCATATGAATGATCCCCAATTTAGATTTTAAGCTTCTTAAGGCTTTTATTCTGTAGTTAAGGGTCTTAAATATAGCATTGTGCCCAGCTGATATTTCTGGAATGAACCTTGGTAACCACACCTTTCACCCATGAATATATGGTCGTTATTTACAAACAAATGATGTTGCCCACAAGAACCCCATTCCATGTCTTGTCATTGCAACAGGGTAGCCCACTGGTGGGGGTACAGCATGTCATTAAGGGCACAGACTGTGGATCTAAGGGTTTGGGTCTTCCTCCACACTCCTTCACCTCATAGCTTCTGACCTTGAGCAGGTGACTTAATCTCCAGTTTCTTAGCTTTCTTATTGCTAACACAAGGATAATAATAGTACACAGGCTTTACTTTTTAGTGTTAAATAGGATAGTGTAGGTGTGTTTTTTTCATAGAATAGAGTCTGCAATAAAAATACTCAGTAAATAATGTATATGATTCTATTATTATTCAAATTTTAAGCTCCAGGTTATAATCTTCATGAGGGGAGTGGTTTATGTTAAGGTCACTGCTGTATTCTGTGTCTAGCTCATAGTAGACTTCAAATAAAAGTTACTGAATGAAGGAATGAATCAATAAGTTCATAGTTATGGAATATTTTGCTTACATCAGTCTAAAAAGTATAAAAGTTACTGAATGAAGGAATGAATCAATAAGTTCATAGTTATGGAATATTTTGCTTACATCAGTCTAAAAAGTATAATTAAGGTAGTATAACACTTTTTATGAAGTACAAATTTCTTAAATAATAAATTAGGGAATGACTTTTCCTATTAGTAAAAGGTTATTACTCTTTAAGCAGTTTTCCATTAGCTTGCCTTAACTTGAAGCATCTAGGGCATTTTAATAGAAAAAATGCATATTTGTAACTCTTCAGAAGTGCACACTTATAGGTAAATGAAGTATTCCTGTACTGTCATATGATATGGTCATTAATGCTCTCTACCTATGTAAGGAAACCGTGCTTTCATATATGTAAAGAAATACTTCTGCAGGTATTTTCTTAGATTATAAAAAAATACACAGGTATGTGATTATGTAATCTGAAAGTAGGCTTTAAATATTAACGTTTCTGTGTGTGTGTGTGTGTGTGTGTGCGTGCATGCGTGTGTGTGTTTTAATCTAGTATGATTGACTTTATGCCTGCTTCATTCCAGTTGGTCTCCCAAAATATCAGATCAAATGTTTATTAATCCCATCGATTTACATGCACTGAAGCAGCTTGCTATTTAGGGCAATACTTTTTAATTAATAAACAATTTATATTGTACTAACTTCATATTTTAACATACAATTATTTTTTCATTCTATTTGCACTATCACCCAAATAACTTGCTCTCCAACCCCTTGCATGCATGTTTTGCTTGTTACTTACCAAAGACGGTCCTTGCTGGTACAGACTCTCTGTTGAGCCAGAAGGAGACTTGGGACAGAATGACGGTCATTATGCATGGCAGGTATGTTTGAATAACAAAATAGCCAATCTTTCTTTTCAGGTGGAAATGAGTGGTCATAACAACATATTCTCCTAGAGGGTGAAACAGACAGTAACTTTGAACAATTTGACCTTGAAAAAAAAGTTAATCTCTGAGGTTTTCCATCAGCAACAAAGACCTGGAGGTTAGACACATCCTTTCTCCAGGTGATACCTAGTTCCTGAAGAGGAAAGCCTTTATCCAGGAAAGAGAAAAAAAGACACTTCAATAACATGACAAAATGGCTCCGAGGGTGAGATTGATGTGCCAAGGATGTCACCAATAGTCTTACATCCTTATCCTGGTACATACATCTAAGACATATCTTTCATATAATATCAGAAAAATGATATGTGTCTCTACATATACTTCATTATCAACTTTTGTTGTCCACAGTGTGCCATTTTGGGAAAATTCTTCAAAGAATATGAATTTTGTGTTTTGAAGAGCAATTATTTGACATTATATTTGTTTTATAAACAATTTCCTTACTAAAAAATTAGAATAGGAGAATTTCAGATCTTTTAAAATCATCTTCCTAAATTAAACAAAATCTAAGTTTTGGCATGAAATATTTGAAAAAGGAAAAAAGAAGGCAGCCAAATCAAAATCATGTTGTAATAATTAAAAAAGGAAGGAAAAACAACAACAAAATGGTCTCCTAAATTGGATTAAAACAATATGTCTAGATATTAAGTGTTTATGCACTAAGCATGTCAAATTCTTTTCCTCTAACTCAACAGTCTAGAAGAATTGTAATTCAAATATTCTTGTACATCATGTAACCCTGAGGGAAGCTTGTAAGTTAGATGTGATAATATTTCTGTTACATTGCAATACAAAATTAAGGGGAGTAGAAAAATAGAAGCAGGTATTTAATTTTTAAAGCAGAATCGAGTGTTTGTGTAGACCTGGCCTCCATTCTTTGCTTTCTCAAATGTTAGTTACTTGAAGGGTAAATACCTTGCTTAACCTCTTTGACTTTTTCCCATTTGGTCAGTTAAAATGATAGTGTTTACTTCATTATTCCTGAGATGCTGGGAGGATAAAATTAAATGATGGAAGTGAGAGTATTTTTTAAACAGTGGGAGTCACTTGAAGATTTGCAGTGTAAAGATAAAAGATTAGAAATGCATTCTCTCCAGCTCAAGAGATAAACCATTCACTTTTCAACAAAATTGTAGTGAGCATTGATTCCATGTACAACTATCATTTTTTCTTACAAGTATTCAAAAGTTAGTATTTTCTGAAAATACTACCTTTTGAAGAGGAATGAGATATTAAAAAATATCATTGGCAGAGTGGTTGGTATTTTAATATCTGCTTCAAAATATATTGAAATAGAAATGAAACATTGATTATAGTTTTAGGCCAATTAGCCTTTTTGGACCCATCTTGTTATCTGAACTATGAGTAGGTTGACCAGGTAACTATAGAAGTTTCCCTTCCCCACCCCCTAATTTTCACATTTTATGGTTATAATTATTTCTCTGAATATCATGCACTAGGCTGTGTGAGTGGCCCTCAGGTTCCTTTGATGAATGTTAATCACCATTGTTGCTCCCCGGTCAGGGAAGATAGTTCAGTTCCTCATTTATTTTGACTGTGTAACCCTAACTCAATGCATCCTTAAATCAACTCATCCACAGGAAACTGGAAAGAGGACCCCACAGTTTCTTTTGGTCATCTGTTATAAGGATAAACAATAGTCATTCATGAAGAAAAGACATTTCTGTTCAGCAAAACTAATCTACATTTCCTTTGACCAAATCTGTGTGTTGACTTAGGTAAATATGAAGACTTTGTAGTCATTATGTGTTTTTAAAAAAGGATTACATATTATTTCATTCTTATTCTCTCTGGCCATGAAGTTATTCTTATGACTAATGGCAATTTAATTATTTTACTTCTCTGTATGTTCTTCAATCACTTTTATAATTTTTACATGGATTCTCCTTAAATAATTACTTAGGAAGCATACTGTGGTATAGTAGAGTGGGACAGGGGCAATGCCTGACATCTATTCCAAACTGCCTTTCCAATACATACAACAGAAAAAAAAACTCTTCTTCTTTATGTCATCAGGTAGCTCTCTTATACTAACTCTATCATGAATAGTAATAGCTAACATTTATTATATAATTTTTACATGTCAGATACTCTACTAATCAGTCCGTATGCATTTTTTTTCATTTCAGTCTCATAGTAGCTAGTGATGTACAATCTCTTATTATCTCCAAATAGTACAAAAGATAAACAGAGAAAGGTCTTGCCAAAGGTCACACAGTTAATAAGATAAAAACAGCCTTTAAACCCTCATGGTATAACTTTGGATTCCACACTCTTAAACTCTGTGCTTCATCACATTGTTACATCTCCACACATGCCTGTCTTGCCTGTTACTGGTGTGCCAGAGTATGTGGTTGACAGCACATAATTTGCAGCTAGACTACCCAGGTTCAGATCCCCTGCCGTTAGCTGTGGAGAAATAGTTAAGCCTCTCTGAGCCTCAATTATGTCCCATCTGTAAATGTGGGGGATAATAATAATGTCTCCATCACTCAACTATGAGCTTCTTGAGAATAGGAACTATATGTCCTTCTCCAGGCCTAAGCACAGTACATGAGAAAATAAATAAAGGAATAAGAGAATAAATGAATAACAGATAATTGTATTGGGTTTGAAAGCTAATTATATTCCTTTAAAGGTTTTGCTCTGCCAGTTGAGTAAGTTCATTTAAAACAATGTCTCTGACTCATTTTCTACCCTAAAATATGATGGCAGACTCCAAGGAAGGGATTGCACCTCTAAAAAACCCAAGATTGGATTGAGCCTCATATATTTTGCTCCTGTGATACAGAATTGGGTAATTTGACCTGCAAGAGGTCACTGGTAGTGTATATGTGAGTTTGTTCCCACATGAGTGTTGATTGCAGGCAAGTGGAACCACACCTTCTAACCTTCTACAAGATGATCTGAATTGATTCTCTCCCCACAGAGATTTTAAGGTGGAAAAAGATGTTCTTTATTTAATCATTGTCAAGATGTGTGTTCTTTCCTGCCATCATCCCTAGTATTCTGGCAGAAACGGGGAGGTAATAGCACCGAATGTCATTTATCTTGATGTTTTCAGGTCTCCACTAGGAGATGTGAAATATAGGATTGCAGACCTTACAAAAGATCTTTGTTTCTTCCCACACGAGTCTATCAAGGTAGATTTTGTTGTTGTTAATCCTCACCCCAGGATATTTTTCCATTGATTTGAAGAGAGAGGGGAAGACAGAGAGAAACATCGATGTCAGAGAAACACATTGATAGGTTGCCTCCTGCATGAGCCCCAACCAGGGCCTGGGCCTGGGAGGAGCCGGCAACCAAGGTGCATGCCCTTGACCAGAATCAAAACCGGGACCTTTTGGTCTGCAGGCTGATGCTCTATCCATTGAGCCAAACCGGCTAGGGCATCAAGGTGGATTTTTGATGTGCAAAATAGACCCAGAGGAGGTGTAACTACACTTGAGTGTCATGTTGTGGAGTTGAATATGTGCATTGTACTAGACTCCTGCATTTGAGAATTTGGTCATTATTCTCCTCACCATCACCACCAATATTCATTATGGAATGACAAGAAAAAGCTCCAATTTTATACAGATAAACTTGCCGCTCTAGCACAGAACGATGACCTTTAATGGACCCAATTTATGAGGCCCAGACAGCTTGGGGTTGATGAGTTAGCCACTGTCTCTCACCTATTGCCCCTCTTTGTGATTGTGTATCTTTTCTGAGTAACTAGAATGCAGCTAGGCTGAATCCTTAGGAAGCCAGAGATGAAAGTGGTCTCCAAGTTAATCGGACTGAGACATCAATTTGCAGACATGAGAACTGGGGCATAGAGAAGGGATACCATGACAAGTCAGTCACTGGTGCTGGGACTAGAATGAAGGCACTCCTTCTGCTGAGTAATGTCTGTGGCTTGTATATACTTCTATTGCATGTTTGCTGCTGCACTTGAAATACTACTTCCCTGACATCCTCCGACTTCCATTCTAGTGATAATAGATGGGGAGTTTCTTGAGGAGAAGTTCTATGTCTATTATTCTGAATGCCTCTAGAAGAGTGATTATTTGGCTCCCAACTAATACAGATGAACAAAATGAAAGTCAAATCCTGCAGTAATCCTTCCTTGATTATTCTAGGCTGGATTCATTTCCTTTATATTTACTTATTGCCTCCTATATTTCAGCTACTATGGCAAATGCTAGGGACACACAAAAACAGATGTGGTCCCTGCCCTCACAAAAATGTTAATCATGGCACTCGCCACTCATTTTGATAGTTATAACATATGTGTTTGTCTTCCCTTAGACTTCATGACAAGATTTCTGCCTTGCCTATCATCGAATCCCTAGTGCCTGCCACAATATCCAGCCTATAATAGTATTCCATTTCTAAAAAGTCAACGCTACTCATTTTAATGTATATTCCAACATAACATGTGAGGAGAAAAAATTTCAGTATTTTCCACATTCTGTGATATTTTTAGGACTATAGCAACAAATACCACATATCATTTTGAGCATTCATTATATAACATTGTAATCAATGTTTTATATTATCTCCTCTTTAATGCAAAATTATAGAGTCCCTATTCTTAGAAGAGATCAAAGTTTATAATTGGATATATGACTTTCACAAAGTCACAAAGCTTCTCCTAAGGGACAGGACCAGAAATCCAGTCCACGTCTTTCTCACTACAAAGCCTAAGACCTCTCCACTATGCTACATACATTTTTTAATTCATTATTTTTTAAATTTGAAATTACTTCTATGTGCAATTTTAATGTTTGTAAAGCTGAGAAACAACCTTCTCCATTTTTCAAAACAAGAAACACAAATATTTGAGCTTTTAGAGTAGCCATAGATACTTTAAAGTAAGCAAAACACAAATTCTGTTAAGCAAGGATTATCCTATAATCACAGTAAGAAATATTGACCTATTTCTTAAACATGTTAGAATGATCAGGGTCCCAATATAAAGTCTGAAATCTAAGAAAAAAAGTTTGAGGAAGAAAAAAAAAACAGTCCCACCCTTCCTTATTACTAAGTTATCTTTCTTTAGAAATTACAAATCAAAATGAAGAAATTAATTTAAAATTTTAAAAACATCCATAAAAGTAATTGTTGAGTCTTGCTACGCTTTCAGTAATTGAACGTAGTTAAAAATATTGGGATTGGAGGAGGTAAGTCATACTAATTGTTAGAACCCAAATTTTATTTATAATTATATGCCCTTATGATCACAATTAAGTTTGTCACAAAATGTATACTTTCATAATTAAACTCTTATCTTATTTCTTGATACCAGTTTAAAACTTTGGATCCAGTTGTTTATTATTATTTGATCTACTAGGAGCCTAGCGCGCGATTTGAAATTGCTCAGCGCTGCCCACCCCCCTGCAGCCCTGCCTTGACAGGGAACCTGTCCACGCAGAGCTCCAGTGCACCTGGCCCAGCCCCCAAACCCTCTAGTCTTCTCTGGCTGCTTCAAGCCCCACCCTCAGTCCCTGGAGTTGCCTCGGGCTGGTCCCGCCTTCTCTGGGTGCCTCCCCACTTCTGCCCCTTCTCCTGAGCAATGTGGCAACTCCGTTAGCATATTAGCTCTTTATTAGTATAGATTTCTGAGTATTGCATGGGTAAGGTAGTTATAACTCTAAGAAGGATGGCGCACCACCCACTTTTCATTCCAAAATGGAGTGATCAGTAATGTGATTATATTTCTATCGGATTTAGCTGAGGAAGATTCTTGGCTAGAGATACAAATGGATTTGTAGAATGAATTGTTTTTTGATGTCCCATGTGTAATGATCACTGCTTTAATTTCACCAAGATTCATTGAATCATGGCAGTAAGTGGGGACTAGATGACATTAATACCTAACATTTACTAAGAGTTTTTTAAATTATTTATTGATTTTTAGAGAGAGAGAAAAATCGACCTATTATTCCACCTATTTATGCATTCATTTTCTGATTCTTGTATGTGCCCTGACCTGGGATCAAACCCACAACCTTGACGTAATGGGACAATGTTCTCACCACCTAGCTATCCACCCAGGGCCCTTGAGAGCTTTTTATGTGCCAGGAACTGTGATATGTATTTTTTTTTTTAATTAAATCTTTATTGTTCAGGTTACATTTGTTCCTCTTTTTTTCCCCCCCATAACTCCCCTCCTCCGATGTAATGGGACAATGTTCTCACCACCTAGCTATTCACCCAGGGCCCTTGAGAGCTTTTTATGTGCCAGGAACTGTGATATGTATTTTTAATGGATGTAATTTTTTCTTTCCAACTACCTTGTGAGGTGACCACAAACAACTGACAAGGTAGATGAGTAAGGATTTAATCCAAACAGTCTTCCTTAAGAGTTCACATACCTAAATATTGTGCTATGCTGATCACATAGAATCAGTTATTTATTTTGCAGATAAACACAGCACAGAGGGCATTAAATGAAAAGTCTAAGATGATAGGTCTGTAGAGATTACACTAGTTTTCAGCTCAACCATACCCCAGTTTAGTGCAGTTTTTTCTCTTTCTCTTATTGTGATTTTGAAAGACTTACTGAATAACCACATTCTCTCTCTCACACACACACAAATCTTTTATGCTCCCTCCTCCATATCTGGAGTTGCCAAATGGCACTTACCTGTGCTAGACTGAACAATTCCAGAGTCTACGGTTTGTCCAAGAAGATCGTACTGGTTGAGGCGTGACCCATCTTCTGCTACCACCACTGAGCGTGCTGGCTCCCTGGTCCACTCATAAACAACTTCTGCTCTGGTATAAGCATCTAAAAGGAAAGAATGGAAAACAGTCCATGGGTCATGCCACTTTGCTTCTCCTAATAAGTTGGTTCTCTCAGCTTCATATTTTCTAGTTCATGGTTCCAGGGGCAGGCTAGGAACAGACAGCCCATGTCCCTTAGTTTAGGAACACTAAAACACATGTCCCTGATTCATTCAGTTACCTGTTCACTCTCATAAGAGATGGTCACTAAGCATGTGCAAAGGACAAAGCACCTGAGGATATAGTAGTGAGCGGTAACAAGGTTCCCTGATCTTAGAGAATGGGCATTGCAGTAGTGGGGGCAACACCAGATAAGCTAATCAATGTATACTTTCATGTGGTGTTAAATACAATGATGCCGTTAGTTTAGGAACACTAAAACACATGTCCCTGATTCATTCAGTTACCTGTTCACTCTCATATGGTCACTAAGCATCTGCAAAGGACAAAGCACCTGAAATGTCCCTGATTCATTCAGTTACCTGTTCACTCTCATAAGAGATGGTCACTAAGCATGTGCAAAGGACAAAGCACCTGAGGATATAGTAGTGAGCGGTAACAAGGTTCCCTGATCTTAGAGAATGGGCATTGCAGTGGTGGGGGCGACACCGGATAAGCTGATCAATGTATACTTTCATGTAGTGTTAAATACAATGATGCCATACACAACAGGTAAGGGGATAGAAAATGAAGGGGGTAGGGCCTGTTTTAGGGACTCAGAGAGGGTCACTGAAGAAGTGACATTTACATAAAGGAATTAGAGAATGAATCATCTTAAGTCATGGTGAAGCGTTCTCTGGATAGGCAAACTAACAAGGTTCTTCCTCCAGAGCAGGCAAAAGTGTGGCATGTGTGAGAACAGAAGGAAGACCAATGTGGCTGGAGTGAAGTGCATGAGAGATGAAATAAGGGTAAGGCAGTAGCCTGCATCCAAACTATGTCAGGCTACTATGATGTATGATATTCCTACCTATGAGGATAATTTGTGGATTAGATGAACTGATGCATATACAAATGCTTACTGTACTGCCTGGCATACAACTAACACATAACACATAATACCATTGTTAAAAATGAAACCAGTAATTGGGAGAAAACATAATAGTTCTTGACATAAAACATTCATTAAAATGGGAAACGAATGGGGGAGAGGGATTGATCACCAAAGTTCTATTTAGCTGACAGCTTGTGAAGTAGTATATCCTTGGGTTTCAGTTTAGAATGGGACTTACAAACAAAGAAATTTGTCTCTCCATGACTAGTGCTGTTAGGAGCCTGAAGGCCCTTTGCTATTTTCTTGGCTTGCTGTCTTCCTACACTACCACCATTTTCTTCTATGAATCATATACCTTCACTGAAATGATGGCTTAGACTGCTTGTCTAGAGAGAACAGAGAGCTGGTTAGTCCAGGAGTTGACTCAGTCCTTGTATGTACCTCCCCTGCAGGAAACCAGGAATGCATTATTCCCTCACACTTTCTGCATGCACACTGGTCAAAAGCAGACGGGTAGAGGAAGTCCAGAGAACCTGGATCTGGAGCCACTGTTCTCTTGGCTCCTCTAATGTGTTCCCTCATATTTAGTAGCAGAAACCCAGAAAATTATTATGAAAGGCATTGATCTAAGAGGCCTTCAAAAGCATTAATATATACATGAGTTTTATGCAGTGTGCAAACGGATCTATAACATCCTGAAGACTTTGATCAGGGTAAATTTTTTTCCTGGCTGCATCTTTTAGGTGTAAGCTTAATTATTAGGAAACAGCTAATTGTTGTCCTTTGCCAACTACCAGTATTTCCATATGATAAACAAGCTGATTTATTCTTAAGGTCAAACAAATGTCAGTAATGATAGAAAAGAAACACAATCATCTCCATTTATCAGAAAGAAAATGTTATCTATTTGGTTCAAGCATCCGTACTCCAGTTGCTTTTCTGTGAATACAACTTCAACAGAAATGGAATTTTCCTCTAAATAGTTAAATCCATTCTTTCCAGTCCAATAGATAGAAAATAAGTCCTTTTTCAAATAACATTAAAAAGTGCAGTCAAAGATTATTACTTATAGGTGTGGCTCAGTGGTTGAGCGTTGACCTATGAACCCAGAAGTCAAGGTGCAATTGCCTGTCAGAGTACATGCCCGGGTTATGGGCTTGATCCCCAGTGTGGGGAGTGCAGGAGGCAGCTGATCAATCATTCTCTCTCATCATTGATGTTTCTATCTCTCCCTTCCTCCCTGAAATTAATAAAAATATTAAAAAAAGATTATTACTTTTAGAAAGCACTTGCAGCAATTCACTATTTAAAGTTTCTTGATGATCTTTATAGATCTAACAAACTTAACTAATTAGAGATCTCTTGCTTAAAGACTTAGGCCTCTCATAAAAAAAATTTTTACATGAAAATAAATTTACTCACAGCTTCCAAATTTTAGTGGGCAGGCATGGGCATCCATAGGGAAGTCCTCCAGATGCATTGGGCATTCAGCTCTCACTGTCAGCCTTATCATTTCAGGAAAACATGGGACACAAAGAAGAGTCCTATAGGTTAGATACTTGCTGATACATACAAATGTGATATTATTGCCTATAGCATATATTTTAACAAAGCAGGGAGACAGGCACAAACTGTAGCACCGTATTGAGCTGTTAGTAATCAAATGATCTAAAAAGAATTATTTACAATTATGATGATTTTATCCATTTTTTTGTTTGTTTTGAGAAAGTAGGTGACACCTGATTCTGTATGATGGGCAAGCATTGCTAATGTTTTCCAAAACAAGTATCATCAATAATCCACCTAGCAACAGTAAATCCTTCAAGCATGAGACTGGATATAAGCAAATAAATACTTGCAAAATTACCAATTCATCCTTAGTTAATAAAAATTCACGGAAAGGATAAAAAGAGAATTTCTCCTTTCCTACGAGCAGTTCTCCCTACCTCCTCCTCTAAAATAGCATCAAATGTATAAATCAAAGGAACTGTGTCCTCAGGCTTTGTGTAACTGAGATTAACATAAGTGTCCTTTAGAGTGAACACGTGATCTCACTATATCACAACCATTGTTTTATTTAAGAATCCACTGCCTAATTGAAGCCAGGATTATGTTGTGCTTCCTGTAGTCCATATCTTCTGGGAATGTGAATTCCATCCACGTTTAAAAAGAGTACTTAAGAAAGGAGTTTGCTGAAATAATTTTGCTCTCCTTTGGTGGAATTTCGAGGGAATGTGTGCCCCAATTCCTCACATGAGCTTTAGAAAAAATATTGATCCATATTGATACTGTTGTAATTAGCTAGTTATTAATACTAGGAAATGAGCAAAAGGACGGCCAGACATTATAGACATTGCCATCTGGGCAGCTACAAGGTAGATTATTTCACATTTCAAATATCAATAGATCCTGCTTGGATGATCTGGAAAGGTCTCAACACACCTGTATACTGATCCTCTATTTTCTCCTTTTTTTGATTTTTCATTTTTGAGTCCTGTTATACTTTTACTAGTTGAGTTCAACATCTAAAGTGGTTCTTGAAGCATTTTTTCTGTCTTTTTTATTTGGATATTTTATTTGAATATTTGAATATTTAATATTTATTTGAATATTAAAAATAAGCTAGGAATTCTGGGAGCTCTCTCCAAAGGCAAAATATCACTCTATTTCCATGCTAAACAGAATCCTTCAAGTCTAGGATTTTGCCTTCATTGTCTTTCCATACCAAAGGAATAATTGTATGGTCTGAATTACCAAGTGCTGGCCAGATCTACAAAAAGAACATTTTAACAAGTCAACTGGGTATGAAATAGCTGTTTCCCTTAAAAATGAGTCATAAACATATATAAATATTTTAAAATATCTCTATTTTTCTTAAAAATATTCAAAGTTTTATTTAAGTCATGTTTCCTTCATTCAGACAGAAATAAATGATTGGTATCTAGATGCTAGGCTCTCTGGTAATCTCAAATTGTGGAGAATGTTAATAAAGCATAAATATATACTAGTCTTCAATTTAAGCAACATTTAAAATATCTATATTCTTAATCTAACTTACAATATCATTGTGAATTCATATACCCCTTCAAAAAGTATACTTCCACATGAACCTATCATTTCTAAGAATTTTGAACCTTCCTTTGTGTTTTTCCCTTCTTTTTAATTAGAAAAATTTTCATATAGACACCTTGAGGTAGCTTTTAGAAATTTGATCTAGACCTTATTGAAATGCAGGAATGTATGAAGTTAATTCTAGGGAAAGGAAGTTACTCATATTGCACTAGAGCATGTGGGAGAAATACATTGAATTACTCAATATATATTGTAAACACTTTTTAAATTTTATCTAGTCATTGTATATAACAATTAATACATGTGTAATAGTTTAGCTAGCTTATTTTTCATAGTAGTAATTATTGAAGTTGAATAATAGGGAAAAATGAAACCAGATGTCCTACCATTGCCTATCAGCTTGATGATCACCTAGCCACGGATAAAAGGAAGGACAGAAAGATTCACAAAGGGACATGGTCCTCCTTACCTCATGGTGTACAGCAAGGTACCATCTTCCGTGATCCTCAGGAGTTTGTTGGGCATGGTCATGTTGTGTGCCACTGACTTCTTTCCATTGTGAAAAAAGGTATCTGGAGTCCAGATCTTGCTTGCCATTAGGTTATTTAACCGGAGAACTGTCATGGGTCCTTTAAATTTTAACCTTTCATCCTTCCAGCTTTGACGGAAAAATACATCTATTGTATATTCCTAGGTAATTATGGAAAATGACAAAGAGTTTACCGTGCTGTAATTTGCAATGCAAATAGCTTACACAAACAATGCATAATTTTTGCAACTTTAGAAGTAAAATATGAGCTCGGTGATGTTTCCAGAAGTAAACTTCTGTACATGTCAATGTCAGGTGAATCACTGGTTGGCATAATCATTTTCTGAAATATTTCTTTGATCTAGTTATCTCCTCAGATAAATGAAAATAACACCCTGCCCCCAGCCCACCTCCACTACACCAGCACCTGAAGAGATAGAATATTTTGCAAATAAGAATGGAAGTCATGTTAGAAGTTATTACATATAAGAACAATTTTTAATGAGACAATTCCAATTATAAAGATAAAGCATAGTGTTTTGGAGAGCCCTTCATGGTCTCTGAAGACCTCACACCCAATCCCAAATCATTCATGATTCCAATGTGAGTGCGATAATCCTATCTCCGTTTTTTTGCTAAATTGAACATTTTTTATCATAGATAATGTATGTAGACTTTCAACTCTATGCAATGAAGATGAATATGAAAATAATGAATCTATTTTGCTGATAATTTGGATCTTTTTCAAAGAAACAAAAACTATAGAATGTGTGTGTGTGTGTGTGTGTGTGTGTGTGTGTGTGTATAGGACACATGAGAAATGTGTGAAGCTCATCATCATTCACAGCCAGGGACTCTGTTTATTTGAATAAACCAGCATTCCTTATGGCAATACCCAGAGACAAACATCTGCTAATCTGAATACAAGCAATGTGACTTACTGGCTCCTAAAATTGAAAACGGTAATATCCATCTTCCTTGCAGGATTTGCTACACTGACAGTAAATTTGGAACTCAATGGTTTGAAATAACGATTACTGCATTCTCCATTAATCTTAGCATGCTCCAAACTAGACGGAAGGCTAACTTGAAGACATCGTCCTACATTTACTTAACTCTGATGCATCATGCATCAGAAAGCTGCTTCTGTTGTTTTTTTAAATCACATCAACTTTTCAACTTGCAAACTAATGTCTGTGTCTAGGCATTTTGTGCATGAATTTAACTACCTGTCTCTTTCTTAGACTTTAAGCAAGATTGGGTAAAGCCTGAAGGTTCATTCTTGGCGCACCATTGGCTCTGCTGGGCCTTTACTGGTCAATTTATATTGGGTAGTTTATAATGCACTAAGCATAGTGTGAAATTCTGATTGAAACAAAAAGTGTAACATGATGCTAGTCTATCTTTGTAGACAGGGAAGTTACCTTGTTTGATGGCTAGGTTTTTCTGTGTCTGGCAGTATCAGATGAAGGCACTAAGATGCATGAGATAGGAATTTACTCACCAAGAAACATTTGTTTAAGCATCTGTTAAATTCAGCAGAGGGAGAGGTGGTTTGATTTGCATGCTGTAAGAAAAACTCTTGGAGGAATAGGGTGGGCATAGAATGGTCTCTTGGGTGAGGAGAGAAATGGGGAGGGAGCCTGCAGATCCCATCAGGAAGTAATACAAAGTAGCAGGGCTAGCCCCGGAAGCTGTGGGTGCATTTACTCTGGGCTGTGCATGTCCTCTTCTCTGGACAACAGGCCAGTTTATGAGATCATGATGATATTGCCATTACTCAGTAAACTGCCACATGTACTCTCTTCTCTGTCCAGCTGAACTACTTTAGCCTGGTCAACAGTAGAGGGAATGGCCACTTGTAAATGAAAGTTCCAAGGATGTGATATCTAAACTGTCCAAGTCCTCATGAATCTAAAAATTGGGTTCATTTGTTTGCTTGCTCCAAGGATATTTCTGAAGATAAATGTTAACGTAGAATAAACTGAAAATATATTTTTTCAGAACAGGGCTCTGTGGCTGTGCTGCCTGGTTATAAAATCTTTGACAAGATCTATACCAAAGTCAGTGATTTTAAAAATACGTCTTGAAAAAATTCTCACATTTACATGGATATCATGTTTACCGCCAACTTTACCTACCTGTGCTAATAACAGACAATGAAATCCCCAAGTTCATTTAAGATATTCTCTTTTCAAATGTTGTACTGGTCACACACACATCCACGTAGCAAAACTAATTGGATACGTTTTCATTTCCATCTCTCCTCTGTTAGAAGTGGAAATGAAAACTGAAATAAAAGGAGTTGATAAAGATCAGCTCCTAATATTTGGTCTTCCATGTCCTAAGAACTGCCCTGCAATAGTGTCATGGTAGCAGCAGGGGGCTGCCAGCAGCACCTTGTAGAGCATGACCTTGCCCCCAGTAACAGTTCATTAGGCCGAGTTAGGCCGGAGCCCCTTCTTCCGGAAGTTGTAACAAGAGGGAGGAGAGGGCAGAGCCATACTTTAATGGTTACAGAAATAAATTCTAAATCTGCTAACTAGAGCTGAATTGTCTGTGCCTGCTGAAAGGCCTTGGGCCATTTTCTTACCCTCTCTAAACCTTGGTTTCCCAATTGATAATGGGGATGATAGCAGCACTTATTTTCACTTGCCTCTTCTGATAAGTTAGTTACTATAAGTAAATAGTTTGTCTGGAACCTAGGAAGCTCTCAGTAAATGTTAGAAGTTATTATACGTCTCCTAGTTTATTATTTTTTATGAACATATATTTATAATGGATTTTTATGTAGCTGGGAATGAAAAATTGCTATTTCTTTGAAATGGTGTTAGGGCAGAAAACCTGAGGAAAACAAGAAGGTAATCATAACCAAGCAAAGTAAAGACAGAGGCAAAAGAGAGGACTCCACAGAAGGTTGTCTGAACAAACAGGAAGCAGTGGTGAAGTATTTGTTCAGGGATCACAGTTCCAGCCCCCACACTCAGGTGAAAAGTCTCTCTAAGTTACCTTGTTCAACAGAGTAGGTCCCTCGAAAATGTAAGGCTTCTTCTGAAGACTGGGACAAAACGTCTTATGTTCCTAAATAAGTATTGTAATGAAGTGTTCTCGCTTGCACCATTTATTACCATCTGTGTGTGCGTTGGCTTACTACATTGTAAGCACCATGGAAAGCAGGGCTCTGTGGCTGTGCTGCCTGGATATTTCTGTCAGAACCTAGTGCCCTGAGAATGTGCTGTTTGATTGCTAATTAATGGTTTTTAAAACAAAGTTAAGGAGTTGTCCTAATTTTGTTTTCTATTCCAGTTGAAGTCAGATGCTTAGGGAGCTGTGGAGCCTCTAGGGACAGACAGTCTGAGGTCAAGTTGCTACCTAGCTGGGTCACTTTCCTCCTTTGGAAAATGTGGATAATAAGAATATTTAGCTAAAATATTGGGTATTAGGATTAGTTGAAATATGGTCTATAAATCCCTTAGCATGGTGCCTACCGTATCGTAAGTATCCAATAATGTTGAGTGTCAGAATGGCTATTATTAATTAGATACTTTATTAGTTCCCACTTTAAAAACTAGGAAGCTTTTCCTGTCTTAAAAAAATAGCTTTGTCATTCTGCCTTCTAATTCTGACAGTTTCTAAATCATGCTGCTCTGTCTTATGCATAATTCTACTATAACGTGGTTTACATGATTAATCTTCTCAAAGTGGTCAGGTACCATCTCCACTAGCCACTTAGCAGATCAGTTGCAGACCTATGGCTAGTGTGGTTACAGAACAATTCAAATGTTGTCCGGCTCTGGATATTTAGGCGATAGGGAGTATCAGTGGCCTAGACACTCTGCCCCTTCTTCCTATCTAATATTTGACCAAAGGCCATGCATGAAAAGTAATTCATGATAATCATAGGGTTAATGGTTTATTAAAAATCCTACGATGTACCTCTGGCCCAAGACCAAAAAATAGATATCATTGTTTCCTTAAATCACAGTTAATCTGAAGCAATCACTCAAAGGCTTGCCAACTGTTTTTCAAGATGAAAGGTTTTGATTGCCTAGGGTTTTATTCATTACTATCTCTTTACAACACCTATTGGGCATCTACTCTTTGTGAGGCATCATGCTAGGAGCTGGAGAAAGAATAGCCATTTATTATTATTATTATTATTATTATTATTGTTAATTATTGCAAGAGTATGATGTCTGTAATGTTTCACTTTCTCTCTTGATGTTTCCATTGATTAGAAGAGCGCAGATCCAGTATAAGTCATTTGAATGCCCTCCATTCCCTAATACTGTTCTATTTGGGGAGGGGAGGAAGGAGAACTAATTTAATTTGATGGGTGAATTTGGAAGGAGAAATCAGTCTTGCCAATCATAGCCTCTTCCTCTTGACTTTTCCATTTTGGATGCTGGCTGTTCATAAGACTCAGTTTTCTGTGCACCTCTATGCTAGAAGGTCCACATGGACAGTCTATACCCTAGCAGAGGGAGGCCAGCACTGCCTGTTGACTAGGTGGGTTAATCTGGCTGATCCTGGGGTTTACTCTCAGAAAACCACTTTTCTGTAGATATAAATCACTTTCTGCAATATCATTATTAGTAATAAAGGTGATTTTGTCATATTTCATATCCCTTACTCATTGTCTTATTTCTCAAAAGGTTCAGAACTCAAGTTGGGAAAATGGTGTTATTTATTGAGTTCCTTGAGACCTTAATTTTTAAAGATAATATAGACTCTTAAATCTATTCCAATTAAGTAATAATTCAACACTTACGGTAAGCTAGCAGCGCACTGATACTGTGAGGAATGTGAAAATGTATCTTTAATATTTTGGGGCATCACTTTACGAAAATAAGACATTTTTTATAAGAAAAATAACTTTACAAAGCAGTTCTCTATGTGAGGTTAAATTGTATTCTACAGTCAGTAAATGTAATTAGAATGCTGAAAAGGAAAATTATTTTTATATTAGATTAAAACATTTTTTTCATAAAGCATTTGGGTCTTGATTTGGGCCTTTGTTTAAATACAGGATTTAGATGGATGTGGAATAGAGGAAATTTTTATGAAGGGTACATAAGGAGTTCAGAGGCAAAAATTATAACTATTATTTATTGAGCACTATCAGTAGACACTTCAGTTGCATATCTCATTTAAAATTCCTAACAATCTTATAATAATAGGTCATGATACTAACATCCCCACTATAAGCTTAAGTGATTTGCCCAAGGTCATGCTGCTGATAGTGAGGAGATTTGCATTCAGCCAGCCTGAATCCCAGAGCCAGTCCTGCTCACCCCCAAGTTGTATTTGTCTCACACAAATGATTAAATAGTCAATATTTAGAACAAGTAAGGACACATTGGTAAAATCATTTATGGATTGTATGGAATACAGTCAGAGGAGTTTAAATTTGACCTTAAACGTGACTGGGATCCATGAAATCTTCTTAATTAGAAAAGTAGCATGAGAGAATGGTGTTGTGTGAAGGTCCTCAGAGAGCAATCAATATAGCAACAACTATTGTATCACACAGTATTTCAATAAGCGGTCTACAGACTGACCACAGTGGCAAAATGTTTTGCCGGAGTAATAAATCCGCAATTATGGCTTTTATATTTCTGTTTCTTCCAGAGTAATAATGGCTGACATTTGTTTAGTGCTTATTATATGCCAATAATTCTAAGTGCTTTTCATGTATTAAGTCATTTAACACTTGTGCTAACCCCCTGAGGTATTATCGTTATTCCTTCCATCTTACACATGAAGAAACTGAGGCAGAAAGATATTACCCAAGGAAGTATCCTTATAAATGGAGGAGCTGGGATCATAAACCCAGACATTCTGGTTCAGAAATCTGTACTGTTACCCACCACTCTGCTGTCTCTCATGCGCTCTGCTGACCCTAATTTGCAATAGTTGGTACATTTCATAACCTGTTTTAAGATCTAAATTATCCTGAGCCAGCATCTCCCAATGTTTGACTCACAGAGCATTAGGTCTATAGCATGTCTACAGGTCTTACATGAAGAAAAAGGATGTTGGATAAATACAACTGGAAGACACTAGATTATATGACGTTAAGCAGTTTCCTTACTGCAGGACTTGTCAGAGCTTTTACCCTGCCAAGGTGGGTGCACTGTAAATTTCACACTTTGGGAAATGCTGGTCTCAGTTGATATTTTCTATAACTTTTATTTGGAGTCATCTGAGCTACTATGAAATCAGGGCTTTTACATTAATATGGCATTTCAAAAATAATATTCAATTAATAGATCTTTGAAATGTTCATAATGATGTATCTTCATGGCCTCTTTGTGATTTTTTTGCTTATATAGGAGCTTGGCTGTTATGACTTCGGAAAAATTATTTAATACCTGCAGAGCTCTACTGGTGCACCAGTTCCCATCAGATGCAAGAGAAATGCATGTTAGTCATTGGGGTTGGGAAAAGAAAGAACAGGTATGCATTCATTTTATTCACAGTCTTGATAACAATTTAATGAATGCCTTTTGTAATGAAACTGAATATTTGTTACTAGTATATTTTAACTATTTCTCTGGCTAATTCTGGTCAAATATGCATTAAGATTTTATATTCATTTCCCCTTTTTAGCCAAAAAATTCAGAAATTGCAATATTTATGGCTATTCTATAATATTGCTGGTTACTCAGAAACCTAGAATCCTCCTAACTGAAATGGAAGATAACTTACACACACACTATTTGGATTACAGAACATAAACCAAGGCAAAGCTGTGGGGTGGAAATAAAGAAGACTGTAGTGATTGATAACCATAAATAGTCTTGGCCAGAGAAGTAAATGGGTATTTTCTATTATATAAATATTATGTATACATTTTATATTACATATTATGCACATAGACACAAAGCTATAGTCAAGCTATTTCAAGTTGTTCCCTAAATACTTAGTATATATTTTTTTCTTACAAAAGTAAATTTAGAAAACATCCCAAGAGAGCAAAAAAAATGCAGTGTCACTCACCATATCATGGTCTGAAACGGGTCCGAAACTGGTGACGAAGATGTCAGTCTTCACTTCAGTTACACGCTCTGGTGAAGCAGAAAATTGGGACAGTGAATGTCTATCAACAGCCCTTATTAGATCTCACCGCTACACATTTACACCCAAATGGGAAATTTATTGGCTTTGATTAGCTATTTCTAAAATCGGTCCACTGTGTAGTCCTGATAATTTACTGCTTACACATGAAATTTCACAGTTAATATTTTTCAGTGGAGAACAGAGCCTAAATATGCTACTTTGGGAGGTGGAAACTTTATGAAGAAGTCAGCTACTGCTTAATGAATTCTTCAAGAATGGATACACTTTCCTAAATGATACAAGGCCATTTCACATTGTAATAAAAAGGTGTTAGCATATGGCTATGGTTTAAGCCTCTATATTCTTACAAAGCTTGCCAGATCCGTTAGGTATTTAGCTACTCTTGGGAAATATATACTGTACGGTAGCAAGCTTTATTAACTCTTTATGGACTCAAGGGTACGCTTTATAAATTATTGCTTTCTGTCACTAAATCATAACTGAATTACCCAAATTACTCCCTGGAAAAACCTGACAACTCATATAAATATCTTCAATTTTGAGGACAGGAAGAACATATTATGGCACAGAAAAGTTCATTTAATAGATTCCATTTCAAGTTCGATATGATTTTATTGTATTGGTCTCTGAGGCATATATATCAACCAATACAACATATTTATTGTAGTTTTCTAACAACTCAACACAGACATTTTTAAGGAAATACATTCACTTGCACAAAAAATAGAAAAATGTTTCTTTCATAAAAGGAAACAGTTTGTTGAGAGGTGAGAATGAAAAACATATGACTTTGTAATTTCCAGCTTTAGCTCTGAGAAATAACACCCCAGTATATTAAGCAATTTATTTTATTTATTGGGACATGTATCTCTGGCATAGGACATTAAAATGGAGATCCAATATATGTGATAATAAATTTTTTGAATATCAATTTTATCCCTCAGCAATTCACTTGTACACAGTTAATACTCTCTGAGCATATTTCTCTCAAGGAAGTTATGTTATACAATTCACATAATGTGTACCTCACAATATAAAATAATTTGAAGGTGGAGATAGCCCCTTCAATAACCAATACAATATTTTTGGCTTGTTTTTGTTGGTTTGTTTTTGCAAACAATTTCATTTGTTCCAAAATGCATAAAGAAATGCTTGACATAAGAATTATCTGGGGTTTACCTTTTAAAAATTTCAAATTGGAGGATATAGTCTGAGACAGATTATAGAGTTGTGTTTTTAGAACTCACTTGGGACCTCGGTTTTAATATTCTGCACCAACTGTGCAGCTTTAGAGGAAAGAACAGCTGTCAGCAATAAGTCTAGGCTATATTAACCATTTGCCCCTTATATGGGTTCCCATGCTTGTACGCCCCTTCCAGCAGTCATTTGTTTCCAAGGTTGAGTTTAGGTTCTCTCCTGATTATAAACTATGAGATGTATGGTGAACATCTTACAAATCTGAGTGACATTTATGGCATTAAAATTATATTCACTTTTATTTTTATATTTGTAGCAGGGATCTACCATTAAATGCATGATTATTTGAGAAATATATGAATCCCTTCTGCACTGGGCAATGCTGGGTGGCGTGAGGCAGTTCTCCTGCACTCCTTTATCACAATTACCTGCGTCATGGTACAGGGAGGGTAACATTACTGCTCTGTAAGGTATTTCCCCAAGGTAGCTAGCTTTACAAAAATTAGCTTACCAGATGTTTTAGGAGCAACCAATCTGTTTTATCTAACATGATAAAATGCTCTTAAGCAGTGAGATATACACTTGCCAAATATATGTGCTGTTTCCCTCTGATGTTTTTAGCTTTCTAGTAGGTAACTGTGCTACATAAGTGACAAATTATAAAGGCCCAGAAGCCTATTTGTAAAGATCACTGTGCCATTCAAATAGAACAGAAAACATGGTTAAATTTGCCTACATTTATTGCCAGACATCATTGTTATTGTGCATGTAGGGATTAGGCATCAATGGAAAACAGGTCACATCAATGGCTATAACCACACTTTAAAGTCTGTTTATTTATTATTTTATCTACCCTTGCCCCTAAGTGTATTTACCATAGCAGATCATCACCTTCCAGTACTTCTTATTTTCTACCAGCCGTCTCCCTCTGAGGTTTCCCAAAACTCATCACTGTACCATTGCAAGGCAGATCCCTGACCAAGAGCCTCACCTCGTCTCTCCAATGACCTTTTCACCATGACTATCATGGACTACCACCATCCACATAAATCCACTATTAATATCTTGATGTATTCAAACATGTGCTTAATGATTATCCTTAAATCGCATTCTCACTCAGTTGAGTTCAGTTTCGTTAAAGGATGGACACCTTTGACCACAAGTATGTCTCTCACTGTAGCTCCCCAGGAAGGCCCTAAGTGGCCCTGAAGTGATTCTTCTTTAAGGCAGAATAATCTGGAGTGCAAAGTTTTAAGATAGCCAGAGGATTGTTGTGAATGAACTTCAGCCAAATTTTAATTAGTGGTTTACTTGCTTTTTGGCAAAGAAAGGGTGGTCTAGAATCAAGACCTCTTCAGGTTCAGGATCAGGCTTCAATGGAAGATGTGCTCATATGCATGCTCTTTGAGATCTAGGGGAATGGTTGAGGAACATTCTTTTCCCCAAATCGGGAAAATTTAGTCATGTTTTCCTCTCCCCTTCAGGTTGAAATCCCCACGGGGTGGGAGAAGGGAATCTATCTATGTAAATTATTTATTATTTAAGGAATAGTAGGACATTAGAATCTAAGTGATCTGCTCTAATGCCAGACTTTATTGACTTAGCGCTAGATTCTAAAGTGTTATTAGAAATACTCAAAGCCTTTCTCTGGATCACATGAGGAAAAGACAAGAAATTTTTATCCATCAAAATAATCTATTGAAGAGCATGCAACATGAGTCAGGAATTTCTAATGAAGGTCAGCTAGAATGTTTATACACCTAGCCAAAGTTAAACATAAATGAACCCCTTTACGTAACTAGGAAATAGTCTGAAAATGAAATTTATTTAAAATAACTTGTTTGGATGACATGTTGAAAAAACAGATTCTTCAACATATTTTTCAATCAAATATTTTTTTCATAATAATCCTTCACTGTCCAATGTAAAAAAAAAAACCCAAAAGATTCTTTAAATGCACACACATGTTCAAGTTTTCAAGGAAGTAACATGGAATAGAGTTATGTAAAATAGAATTATGATGATGATGATTGCTCTTCTTACAATGATTGGGGAATATCTTCAAGTAGTTCATCAATGTAAATGAAGATTTTGTTGATAAATAAATCAATTCAAATAAGCCTTTTAGCAAGCACACACTGCAAAGATATATTTATATATAAAACATATATATCTATATATACATATATATATACACTATATTATATACTCTAACTGTTAGACCACAGTAGATCTGTTCTTACTTGGGATGTCTTACAATGTTGATACCCCACTGATAAGTATTGAAATAACAGATGTTTTGTAGTGATAATTCAAAAAGATGATTAGTGCTTGAGGCAGAAATGAGAAAAGCCCGTGGAGTATAGTAAGCAGTAAGCACCGTGGATTATGAGTCAAAAGATTCAGATTTTAACTGTGATTTTCCTGGAGAACAAGCTGCATGATGTTAGGCACTATCCTTTAATCCCTCTGAGCATCCATGACTATTAATAATGAGATTCTCATCTCAAGAAATAATACCTGCACAGTTGACTGCATTGCATTGGAGTGAGGGTTAAATAAGATTGTGATGCCAAAAATACTTTGAGATGTATTTGCTGGGTATATTAAATTCGTCAGCAAATGTGTGTGTAGCATTTCCTGTGTCAGGCAGGTAACAGTAACACATTGGTGAGCAAAAGTGCAAATGTTCTTGTTCTTCTGTAGCATATCTCATAGTCTTTGAGAAAATATATTTTAGATAGATTAGAAACATATTAGATAAATAGGTATTATATATATCATTATGTACAAACACACAAATTATACTGATAAATTTCAGATTACTGGGAATTCTCTGAAAGAATGTCTTTTGAAGAGATGACTGTAAACTGAGACTTGAAAGATGAGAAAATGTCAGGGAGGCACAGATCCAGGGAAAGACATTTCAAGGAGAGGAAAGAATAAGATTCAAAATAAGTGTGTTATGTTTAAGAAACAGAAAGTTTGCCCTGGCTGGTCTACTCAGTGGGTTGAGCGTAGTCCATGCACCTAAGTGATCCTGGTTTGATTCCAGGTCAGGGCACATACCCAGGTTGCGGGTTTGATCCCTAATCTGGGTGTATGGGGGAGGCAACTGATGGACATTTTTCTCGATGTTTCTCTCTCCCCGTCCCCTTCTTCCTTCCTCTCTCTCTAAAAAAATCAATTTAAAAAAAACCCCACAAAGGTTAATATGTCTGGAGCCTGGTGTTGCTGATGATCATGATATAAGATGACACTCTAGTGGCAAGTAGGCCCACACCTAAAGGTGTTTGTGCATTTCACTAAGCAGTTGACCTTTATTCTAATGTAAAAAGAAGCCTTTGGGTAACGAAGTGAAATTATGTCCGTTGCAGTTTAAGAAGATGGCTAATACTGTGTGAATAATGCATTGTAAGAGTGTTCAAAGGGGGTTGGGGAGACAATCAACAGTGAAAAATTATAGGTGATGTTTTATTAGAAATGCCTATCACAACAACTTATTTACTAAGGCATTGGCCATAGTTTCACTGGAAATGCTGTCTCCTGCGGCACTCAGAGTATTCACTATGCCGAGTTCCAAGGACTTGTACCTTATGAAGGAGGTCTACTGCCCCCTCTAAGCTTCTTGGTGGTCTCTTAGTCCACGGAGGCAGTCTGTATGGAGACTAAATGGACTCACATTAGTCACCAGAATAAAGTGTATCTTTAAATTTTACTTTGAAATGGTCCGGTTTGGAAATTGAAAATATCCTGGACTCCCTACATAAATATCAATGTATGCTCCTGG